AGGGGCTAAAGCTTCGCGAACGCGAGCCCGTTTACGCGAACGCGACGGCTTAACCAGCCTGACCCATCGCGAACGCGAAGGGTCTGTCGCGATCGCGTAGGGCATTTTCGCCCAGTGATTTTTAAAAGCCAAAAACAGAACACTTACGGGATTTTATAAAAATTTCACAAACCTCTTCTTCTCCAAAGCTCTTAGGCAATTTTTGAAGCATTTCCTCACCATAATCTCTTGGGTAAGTAATCTTTAACTTGTTTTCTTCCATTTTTATCAACACCCACTAGATTTCTAGGCCTAAAACATGTGATTAAGGGTAGAAAATTAGGGATTTGGATAGAGTTAGGGCTTTTTGATTAATTGTGTTTTAGACCTCGTTTTGGGGTCGAATTCTGGAAATAATTATATATTTGGGCTCGTGGGTGAATTGGGGATCAGATTTTGGTTCGAACCTCGTGTATTGACCAAGCGGGCGCGGGGTCAATTTTTGGGTTTTTGGGAAGAATGGCTAGAAAACTATAATTAAGTGTTGGGATTGGATTGTTTAGCATATATTGATGTTATTAAGTCGATTATGTATAGATACAATTGATTTCGAGCCGAATTCGAAAGGAAAGGCGGCGTTTGAGGCTTGAGTTGGCCGTGGAAGTTTGAGGTAAGTGTTTGGTCTAACCTTAGCTTGAGGGATTAGGAATTGTGTCCTATTTGCTATTTGCTTCTTGTTGAGTACGACGTATAGGCATGGTGACGAGTATCTATACGTTGGTGTCAAGCATGACCGTGAGTCTTATATTGTGATTTTCATGACTTCGTTGTATTATTCATGCCTTGGTGAAGATTTATATTTGTTGTGTAAAGTTGTGGAAAGAATTGTGGCCTATGAACATTGAGGAGCGTTGGCTCCAGTTGTATAACGAATTGTGAAAGTATAAGTGACAATTGAAACTCTAGAGCATTGGTTCGAGTTGTGAAGTAAAAGTGAGAAAGAGAAGAGATCATTATGTTGCCCCCTTGCCGGGCTATTGTTGAGTTGTGGTTCCCTTGCATTGCGTTCTTAATTGATATTACGAATGCTTAGGTTGATGATTCTTTGTGTTAGGTAAGGATTATGGTTATAGCTGAGGTAGTTAGATGTTGGAACAAGTCTGGGTATGGCCGAGGTAGTTAGGTGTTGTAACAAGTCTAGTTATAGTTGAGGTAGTTAGGTGTTGTAACAAGTTTAGTCATAGCTGAGGTAGTTAGATGTTGGAACAAGTTTGGGTATAGCTAAGTAGGAGTTGAGCTAGGATTGGTTATAGCTGATTCTCCTTTGCCGAGATGTTTGTCTTGATATTGTTGTTCCCTTATCGGGGAGTTATTATATTGCTTTTGTTCCCTTGCCGGGATTATGTGTTGGCTTGTAAATGGGAGTGGGTGGTACGCCTACCACAAGATATAATGAAATGGGAGCGGGTGGTACGCCTACCACAAGATATAATGAAATGGGAGCGGGTGGTACGCCTACCACGAGATATAATAAAATGGGATCGGGTGGTACGCCTACCACGAGATATAATGAAATGGGATCGGGTGGTACGCTTACCACAAGATATGAGAAATAGGATCGGGTTGCACGCCTGCAACGAGATGTGGACCGTGAGTGAAATCTGCCTTTGTTTTTCCTTATTCTTGTTAGAAGTTAAATTTTGGTTTCTTGATAATTCTCTTGAGATTCTGTTTTATCTGTTATTCTCCGAAGCATGTTTCCCCTTCCCAGCTTTAATTGTTTGTTCTAGTTTATTTTTCCGCTGTATGTATATATATAACTGCATAGGTTTATCTGGAGTCTGGTCCTAGCCTCGTCACTACCTCGCCGGGGTTAGGCCAGGCACTTACCAGCACATGGGGTCGGTTGTGCTGATACTAGACTCTGCACTCTTTTGTGTAGACCCCAGTGTTGTAGACTTTGGACCGCAGTGGGATTGCTGATTCTTGCTCATCAGGCGACCCGAGGTAGTCCTACAGGCGTCCGTAGGCCTTGGAGTCTCCTTCCATCTACTATTCCTGTTTCTTTCATGTATTTCCAGAGACAGTATTGTATTTAATTCTTTCAGACCTTTATTTGTAGTATTCTTAGACCGTCTGTGATACTGTGACACCAGTTCTGGGTAGTCGAGGTTCAAACGATTGTATTAGATATTCATGTTCAGATAGCTTATTGTTTCTTTCTTCCGCTTATGTTAAATTCCGCTGTTTAAAGGTTATTATTTCGAAATTGTTAATGAATATAAGATGGGTAAAAAGGTAAATTGTGCAATTAATTGGCTTGCCTAGCTCATTTTAGTAGGCGCCATCACGACTCCCGAAGGTGGGAACCCGGTTCGTGACAATCATTATCTTGAATAGACTCTTGCTGGTCTTCTTTGGTATCCTTAACACTGTTGTAACCATTCTATTCCTGCCTGTTTGTGTTTGAATTCAAGGGAGCCTTGTTACACACAGCTCCACCTTGATCCCCCTTTCTATAGTTAGTCGACTTCCCTTGAGCACTCACAGTTACACCAACAATACTTTCTTGGTTCAGATTTTGGGCAGACAAGGATATCTCCTTGTTATGAATCTTTTCCTGCTTGTTTGAGTTGGTATTCGATCGAGCCTTATTAGTAATAGCTCCAATTTGATCTTCCTCATTCAATTCAGTTGACTACTTTTGCACATTCACAGTCATATCCGGATTGCTATCTTGGTTGAGACTTTGTAAAGCCAAGGTTCTCACCTTGTTATGCATCTTTCTCCCATTAGAGTCATAAGATAGATTGAACATAGGCTTGAAAGTAACTTTTGCTTTCTTCTTAGGAAGTTTCCTCTGTTTGTTCTTCTTAGAATTCCTTTTGGATCTGACTCTGATGTTGCTGGGACATTGTTGCTGGTAATTTTCAGATTCATTTCCATTCTTGTGCTTCAATTGACTTTGGCCGGTACACTCTTTCATGCCTTTGTTTCCCTCATTCTGTTTTGATAAGGAATTTCAATGTACGAGAATTCTATTTTCCTCATTCTGTTTTGAGATAGAATTCTGTCTAGCTAGGCTTGGTCCATCATTCTTTCGTCCAGTCTGCTTTGCATCAAGCTTCTGATGTTCATCACTAGTCTTCCTAGTTTCATCAACTTTTTGGCAGTCTAATTCAGTGTTTTCCCCATTCTGATTTGCAACAGTATTCATCCGATTTTCTTCAGGTTTTTGAGCGTCCAAAACTATGTTTTCTCCACCCTGATTATCAGCAGTTTTTTGATCATCTAAAACTCTATTTTCAGCAGCCTTTTTTCTCTCTAAAGCTCTACAATTGATCATATTGTGACCAAGTTTTCGACAGAATTTGCAATATTAGGGACTCCTTTGAATTCAATTTTTTGTACAAATCCTTTTTTAGGAGCATCGTCAAATATTTGTCCAACATAAATAGAATTAGGTTGGTCTTTAAGCAAGTCAATTTCAACTCTCACTTTGGCTATACTAGGCCTTGTTCTTCCTCTAGTAGCCAAATCCATTTCAAGGGGAGTACCAATTGCACCCACCACTTGTTTAACATAATTCCATGTGTGCATATGAAAAGGTAAACCAGGAAGGAGAACCCAAACCGGAGCAATAGGCAGGTCCTCCTCCGGCTTGAAATCCGGTGACCATTTCTGGAGCCACATCTGCTGCCCTTCGATTTCAATTACTCTTCTAAACCAAACAGTACTAAAATCGTCTTCATTGGTGAAATCAAGAAAAACATTGTAATTATCATACACCCCAATCTTGATGGAACCCTTAATCGAGATTAGCTCCTTGAATTTTGATCTAGTTTTGTCAATTTGGGGCCTTGGTTTTAGGAATCGGCCAACAATTGTGAGTTTGCACTCTTCAGTCATAACACCATAGTATTCTGAAGCTTTGAAGAGAATCGCCGGCATTCCGTTGTGTGTAGTATGAGTTGCAACGACAAAGTCTCTACCATGGCGATTTGGAGGATTCGGAGTGTTCGAGGAGGAGATGATTTTGGTAGCATAGGTCAATTTTGTGTCACTTAGCTCTGAGGGTTGGTTCGCCATGTGAGATAGAGTCGATTGACCTTCCGGATGCGCCGGAACGACGCCGTCCGGCGAATCCATCGGTGGGCGCGTGAAAGGGAGACGCTGGTTTTAGAAATAGCCGTTGGTTCTTTTTAGAGAGAGAAGACAGAGAATTTCAGAAGATAGTAAAAGCCTTTAAAGTACAGTTAGATCATCTAAAAGACAATTACGGGTAACACATAGGGAAGGTCTTGAGCACAAACATGCTTGTCAATAATTTAAAGGGAAAAAAAAGTTCACACTCAATGTATGCATTATATCACAATAGTTAATCACGATTAAACGATATATTGAAGTAAAAATAGACATTACTTAGCAATGGTTAAATGATAGAATATAGGTAAAAAAAATACATTATGTATTTCCTTGATTCGGTGTAAACACCAAGTGTAGCTAAGTTTTTTCACCTGAAAAGTCATCGCCTTCTCCCTTTTTCTTAGCAGCCAAAAGAGACTAGCAACATGTTGTTCGGAACATTATAACCCTCGAATGTAATCCCACATCAATATGGCATAGCTAATACCACAATTTTGGTTTAAAATTTATACCGGTATTAGTATCCTAATCCCAGTAATCAAACGACCCTGTCACAAGTTAGCACCATCGATCCAATTTGTTCATGTTCAAACTAATGTCTACTTTCGGCTTTCCTGCTCAGTTAACCAGCAAACAACTGTAACACACCAGACATCAACAACAACACCACCAAAAATACAAGTATAATCCCAATAGTGGGGTCTGGAAAGGGTAGAGTGTACGCAGACCTTACCCTTACCTTAAGAAGGTAGAGAGGTTGTTTACGTAATACCCTCGGCTCAGAAAAGATAGAGAGGAAGGAGTAACAGCAAGCAACAACAACACCAGTAAACCAAACAGAAAAACACACTAGAAATCAACAAAAAGCAAAAGGCTAGAAATGGAAAAGTTCATGCTTTTATTGTTGGACTGAATGCAAATTGCACTTTCTTGTTTACCACAAATGTTATAACTTGATGATATAAAAGAATGTACAAAACAAGCAAATGGTCAAGGAAAGAAATCTTGAGATGTTTTCAAGTTCCGCAGTTGCAGTAGTGCACACCATTACTAATAGCGCCATTGCCATTGTGCTTCATGTTTGCTTGATTCAAGCCCCATATGCGAATAGTCCGATCATCACTTGCTGATGCCAGCATGTGAGGATTTGCTGGGTTCCAACTAACACAGTTGACAGTCCCAGAATGTCCAGCCAACGTCGCGAGGAGTGCTTGTGAGCATTTGTGCCATATATATACCTGACATAGGGGTATTAGATCAAGATCAAATTATCTCTCACGGATATGCCTGAAATTGTATTAGAATAAGATCCAGCATATCACAAAGTATTTCTGCGTTCTTTGCCCAGTAATTGGGAACGGAGAACAAGAACCTTTTTTCTGGTACATGTTTACATATCCTATCGTAAATTTTAAAGGAACAATGGATTCCACAAAAATTACATTTCAGGCACAAGAAATAATAGTTCCCATTCTAAAATATACATTGATTAACACAACCTTTTTTCTTCAGACATAGAATTTCTAAAGATATGGGCTTGGATTCTCCAAATCAGCAATAAATATTTATTTAGCAACATATCCAACTCAAAAACTATCCAAGTATACCTGCCTCAACTGTTATTGACAATTGCGTTCTAATGCACAAACTTGAAACTATATCTCCACAAAAATAAGAGCAACTTAGGGCCGAAGCATTTTAACTGGTGGCAAGTAATTGAGAGTACTTCGTATTCCAAGCTATAGCTCAGAAATTCACCACGAATTTCAGACCCCACGGTTTGGGATAATACTGGGTATGTTGTTGTTGTTGTTTTTACCAGTATAGCCTATAGATGCAGCTTCGCACATACACAAGGATTCCTGATTTCACAATAACTTAAGTATGAAGACATTTCTCTATATGTTCATGATAATTGTACAGACAGACAACTCTGTTGATAGTAGAATTGTCGAAATGCTTGAATGTGAAAATAGGCATAAAAATCATAATAACCAAAAAAAAAAAATTCTGCTTCTAAATCAACAAGAGAAGTACCTGTGAATCCTCACTCCCACTGGCAATGAAAGATTGATCAAGTCCACCAAAGCAAGACCGTACAACGAAGCGAGAACGTTTATGCCCCTTATATTTGGCTACAAGTTTTACACTTCCCTCTATATACCAAAGATGAATTTCTTGGTTCCAAAGACTTACCAATACATATCTATTGTCTGCGGATAATTCAAATGATGTTATTGTTTGATCCTCCTGAATTATTCGCTCTGCTTTTGATTCCAATTCAAATAATAGTATCATATTGTCTTTACAAACAGAGACCATGTGTTTCCCGTCACTAGTAATTCCCAAATCTGCTATCCTACTAATCCGATGGCCTTTCCAACACTCCAGCTCTTTCCCTTCAAGATCCCACATGCTAATGCTTTTGTCAGTAAAACCGCAAAATATCCTTTTGCCATCGGGAGCCCATCCACATGAGACCAAACCAACACCGTTTTTCCGGTAAATACGTATACATTTGCCGGAGTCTACATCCCATCGTCTAACGAACTCCTCTACTCCACAAGTGAGAAGATGACGGTCATCAGGTCCCCACGACATATAGGACACAGGTTTCTGGTGACCATAAAATCGATGCTTCAGGCAGAACTTCCCGTCCAACTTCACCTGCATAAAGGCAAACAATTGAGAAGAGGAACTTAAATCTTCATTATAATTCTATCATAAAAAATCAGAATTTCAATTTCAACAGCTCTCTTTCCCCCCATGCAGTTGCTCAGACTTTTCACTTTCGGTGTTGCACCCGTGTCGACATTGACATGGGTACGGATGTGGGGTTCGTACCGGATCTGTTCAACTGATTTTGGGTACTTTGACCAAACGGAGAAATTCGGGCATATATGATTTCTGAAATCAAAATAAAGCTAGAGTAAAATCGAAGAAAATGGAATACCTTGTATATAGAAATTTCTACGTCAGTCCTTTTCCTTTTATCTCCCTCTCGAATATCCTCTTGATCAATATTTTCTCCTTCTCGGAATAGATTGTAAGTTTACCACATAATCTCTCATAATTTAGACTTATTATTTTAACTCTATTTTTAGATATTTGAATTATTTTTAGCCGGATCCCTGCACACGTATCCGCCCATGGATCAATGCCTCCAAAGCTTAAAATTTAAATCGTGAAGGATCTGACCTCTAGGCTCGCACCCGTATTGGACACGGGCACCCGAGTCCGAGCAACTTAAACTTCGCCAGGGGAAAGAACCAGAAAACCCATCTGTTTTAGATCTTTTACCAAACATCATATGCACCTATAATAGAATTCTAAAGGTTTGCACATTGTACACCATATCAAGCCTCCCTAATTGGAAAGCCTATCCCATTTGGAGACTATTTATGGGATAAAGATAGTTCTTTAAATCCCTTGCAAGGCTTCAACTCAAACAAATCCTCCATAACTAAAAATTATGTTTATTCATATAGTTGCTCTATCTCCACCACCTACAACATAAAATACTAGAGCTTTCTGAAGCTAGCTAGCTTCAAAGCATAAGCCACACTGCAAGATGTGGCTTCCACCGTTGATTCAGAAATGAATTAGGAAAGACAGCAAGTGCAACGATGAAAAGGAAAGGAGACGGTACTATCTGAATTCCAGATAGGAGGAGGAGCTACAACAACAACAATACACCCAGTGGAGTCCCACAAGGGTCAAGGAGGAGCTACTTTCTCTATTTGTTTATCAATTATAAAAACTAAAGGATATTTTACTATCGTATTAAAGATATGTAAGGGGAAACTACAAAGATTCTTCATTCGTGGCACTACATGGGACACTGAAGCAAAAACAGTGCTGCTTTCCTCCTAAATTAGTAGTTAAAGCACAAAAGAGAAAGGCCATGCAAGAGAATAATGGCATCAATTGCAAAAAGAGAGAAGTAACGGAAAGAAGTGATATTAAATGAAAATTAATAGAGGATTAAACAAGTAATAATCAAGAGGACCTTTGACGAAGCAATAATCGACTGAGAAATATTCAGAGCACTTAAACTTACCTCCCATATAATCACCGAACAATCAGCAGATGATGAGGCTAAGTACTTCCCATTATGAGAAAACTGCAAAAACCAGACTTCATCTTTGTGTTCTTGTAATATCTGGTGTATTACGAGCAACAAAGAAATGATTAGAGCACAACGTGATCGACAAAGCCTTCTCTCTTTTTTTTCTTTTAATATTTAACAATTCATTCAAACCCTTCTACCAATCATAGTCAAGTCAATTTGGATATCCATTGTTAAAAGAAGAAAAACACTGCACAACAACAACAACGACAACAACATACCCAGTATATTCTCACAGTGTGGGGACAGGAAAGGGTAATGTGTACACAAATGTTACCCCTATGTTGTGGAGATACAGAGGTGGTTTTCGATAAATCCTCGACTCAAGAAAAACAATTCTCAGAAAGAAAGAGAATAGTGAAGAAGCAATGTTGAAAATAATGAAAAAAAGAACAATAATAACAGCAAAATAACAAAACAATAAGAAAACTGACACAGGGGAACATGTAGTAATAGAAATCGAAGGCTAATATAATACGAGAGTGATAATAATAATACTGATATGAAAAACACAGAACATATACGGTGTCCCAAACTCAACTACCTACTCACTTTCTAACCTAATCCTCGACCTCCATATCCTTCTATCTAGGACCATGTCCTCGGTAACCTGAAGATATGTCATGTCTTGTCTAATCACTTCTCCCCAATACTTCTTCGGTCTACCTCTACTTCTCCTTAGACCCACAATAGCCAACCTCTCAAGCATCTGTGCATCTTCTCTTCACATACCTGAACCATCTCAGCCTCGCTTCCCTTATCTTGTCAACCACGGAGGCTACTCCCACCTTGTCCTGAATATCTTCGTTCCTAATCATATCTCTCCTAGTATGTTCAAACATCCATCTCAACATCCTCATTTCCGTATATGAGGGATACATGCAATCAGTGGCTGGCTTTAAGGGGTGTCAATCGCCCTTCGCCGAAAAATTACACTGTTTTGATAGGTAAAACTTTTTTTATGCATACATACTATGTGTTGAATACTCTTGACGACTTCATGTATTTGCTTTTTAAAACTTTGATACCCCTTAGTGATAATCCTGGCTCCGCGGCTGACAAGGACACTACTAGAAAAACTCAAACCAAGTTGTCACACGTGAAGAAATTTTCTGCATCATTTCAATGATGGAGGAAATACATGTGCATACAACTTTCTTTTGATATTTTCGAAAGAATCAATAATCCACTTTGGCAAGTCTTCTACATTTAAAACTTCTAATAGATGATCCAAAATGAGCAAAATATGTGTAAGAAAATATAAAGTAAATAACAGGCCTAGGCAGAGGACAACAAAATCTTTATGGCAAAAAGAGAGAAGTAAGAAGGAATAATAGGAAGAAGGATGTCACTATTTCAATTCAATTCTCATGATCCTACAACCTTAATACCCCAAACTGTTACAACGATCTCAATCCTAAAGAAAGCACTATATCATGATAAAATTTGAGGACCTCGAAGCCTTATGCTATGATTTTGAGAATATTAATAGAAATTGACTAGCTTTTATTCTGTAACACAAAACAAGCTATTGTATAGTTTTCATCCATAGACAATGTACACATGCATTTCTTGTTTACTATTAGAATCTTAGGATTTCACAACCTCCCCCCTCCCCCACACACACACACACATACACATACACACATAGGATTATCATAGGGAAGGTAGTAATATGTCTAGGCTTCTACGACACCCACCAAAAAGAGATCTAGAGTAGTAAAAATTTGATATACCCTCCATCCCAATATATGAGGCGTTGTTTGATTCGGCACGGAGTTTAAGAAAGAAATAAAGACTTTTGAAACTTGTGGTCTAAAACAAATCATATATATTTGTGTATTTGTAAATCAATTCACTTACAGTAAAGTATGAATTCTAAAGATAAATTGTTTCTAAATAAGAAAATGTGACATTCTTTCTGGGACTGACAGTACCATATAAATTGGAATGGAGGGAATATATCTTTTCTTATTCCTCATTAGTAAAAAGTTTACAATACTAATACACTTAAATTGGTCATGGATGACCTATAGGTCACGGGTTCGAGCCGTGGAAACAGTTACTAATGCTTGCATCAGGATAGGCCGTCTACATCACATTCCTTGGGGTGCGGCCCTTCCCCGTACCCTGCGTGAACGCGAGATGCTTTATGCACCGTGCTGCTCTTTTACGCTTGAATTGGAGCACCACAGTGATTTTATTAGCCTTACACACATACTTGTACTTGCAGAAGTAGACAAACAGGAAAAACATTGCTGACACAATGACAGCATAATTAGAAATGGAATAACCAAAATATTAAACAATAGAGAGCACAGAGTTGGAACTTGATCAGCACACATCAAATCACATCTATCACCATATAAACTCAAATGCAGAAGGAATTAACTATTAGGGGATCAATTAACCTGCAAAGTTTGAGATGGAAGCTGATCTCTTCCACAATGGTGATCAGTGAGCAATGACATTTCACTGACTAATGAGTTGTGAAATAGACAAGCCTCTACTTGCAATTCAAGCGCCTGTTCAACAAGATGGATCAATCTTTTTTCAGGAATCATGGCGGTTGGGGGAAGCAGCCTTTGTAATTCCTCTAGTAACTTTGTCCTTGACTTCGTTTTCACTATATCTTGACCTGATGATACACCAGAAGGTGATATAATGAACAACGAAAGCTCATGGACTCTATCGCTGTTTACACAAAGAGGCGCAATCTCAGTCCTCAATGTCTTCAAAGCATCCATGACTTCTTCTCTGTCTAACAGTTCAAAGAACTTCTGTTCCAGTATCACAAAAGACGCTAACTTCACAATTTTTTCATCCACGAGACCGATTTTACGTAATGTGGCTACACTTTCGTCCCATCTCCCATCAAGGATTTGCTGCATGAATAAATGTACTTGAGAGGAGTGCAAAGGTATCCCCGACTCTTCCTCTAGAAACGCTCCCGTCTTCTTATAGCCAAGAGAATATAATGCATCGGCTATGATTCGAACAAATTCAACTTTCTTGACTACTCCTTTTGTACCAACAATCTCGTCGTCCCCTTGAGCGGCTAGAGGACGAGCCATAGACTCACTCAATGAGCAACTTGCAGGATCCTTAAGAAATGTGCCGTTCGAATGATCTGCTGATTCCCCAAATGATACTTTCACACGTTTTGAGGGTGGCTCATCATCCTTTGCGCCTCCCATGAAATGTATATCTCAGCCCATATATAAAGCAGGTCGGTAAACGGATCCGAGAAGATGATACCCCAATCTCAATCCTTCAATGGACAAACGCGACTGTACCTGCATAACATCATTAAGGAAAGAACATAAAATCAACAAAGTTAGAAAGAGCAGAAGGAGAAAAAAGCAAAGCAGAGGATCACTTGCTTTAAAGAACCCAAGGTATGAAAAATGAAATAAAGCTGGAGCCAGAGACGGAGAAAGAGAGGCAAAAGACACAAACTGCGTTTAACAACAGCATAGATTAAAAACCATCTTATATTCACATAATATCATCTACTTTATACTAAACACTTTCACGCAAGCCGGCCCAGACACCGCGATTATTAAAATATCTCTCTCTATACACACACACACACACAAAACATTTCGGTCAAATACACTATCACTACAATCCAATATTTCTACCAGTTCAAAATGGCAAAGAGCCTCCCCACCAACCCCTACCCTCACGAAGACAAAATTGCATTTAAGGAGATTTACTAAATAAAATGCCGTTACAAAACCAAACAAAATTTTCTTGACCACTTGATCTGAGTTACCAACAATTGTTTCTTATACAAAATGATTCTTCTTGAATAAATCTTGCTTGAGCTAAAATTGAATGCCAAGAATGTGACACTTGTGTACAAAGCAATAACAAGAGAAATGGATCCATAAACAAGATTAAAAAGTATCGTATTCACACCTTAAGGGCGCGACAGGGAGAAAGATATAGGGTGAAGGAGACTGAATTAAATGCTTAATCAACAAATAGCCTAATTCAGCCGATTAGATTTCTTTTTTTTATCAGATTTCATTATTAGAAACTATTATCTAAGTATAAATATCAAACCATTGAACGACCTGCCTGTTTCTTTCCTTCCACAAAGTCCACATAATATGAAAGGCCCACTGTCTACGATTTTTTTCTTTTATTTTATTTTAATAAGTTCTCATACATAGATTCTTCTTTCCTCTTTTTGGAAGTGTTCTTACTTTCCGTTTTTTCATCTATCGAACATGTTCTCTTACATAATTCTCCACTCTTTTCATTGTATGCATAATCAGCCTTTGGACTATCAACCTCCAAACAGGTGGCATTCCCAGCTATTGCTGTTTCCCTAACCAGAATAAGAAACTAGGTGAAAATAAAGAAACATCAATTCCTTCCCCTAAAAGGAAATACAGAAAATAAGGCATATTTCTCAAGTGTGCAGTGTGAGCGCACAAACACACATCTAAAGTGCAGAGCTTTACAAGATTTGGCCCAAAAAGGTGGCATTCCCAGCTATTTCTGTTTCCCTAACCAGAATAAGAAACTAGGTGAAAATAAAGAAACATCAATTCCTTCCCCTAAAAGGAAATACAGAAAATAAGGCATATTTCTCAAATATGCAGTGTGAGCGCACAAACACACATCTAAAGTGCAGAGCTTTACAAGATTTGGCTGCACAACACAGCCAATTTCCCCAAATGCTGCACAGCTAAAGCCATACCCTACATCCCGTCAAAATTCTGTTGAACAAGCTTTGAGCAGAAAAAGTTGAATCATCTTCCAGGAACATATGACAATAACTGCATTTAGTCTTAGGTAACTTTGTTGCTTTATGAATGTTGAATTGTGTACCGCCTCATCTAGAATCTTAACCTGTTAGAGAGAGGACATTTTTATTTTTTTCAATTAGGCCTGCAACACGGCCACTGACTTGTAGATTTGATTCTTTTTCTTAGACCAAGCACCTAAAGATTATTTTTTATTTATTAGAGGCAGTCAGACTCGAACCAGTACCTTCGCTTGCTCTAAACTATTGAATTGTGTGTACCGCCTCTTTACAAGCTTAACATTATTAGAGATGGGACATTTTTATGTATCTATTTATGTATGAAACAATGATCAACAATGAATAAATTCTCGTTAAACATACTTCTCTAATTTCAAGTTACATCTAGTATCATTTGCTAAATAACTTTAATGTCACCCGACTTGAAGGTCAATCATAATCCACTCCAGCAACTACAATGTCTAGTGATCAGACTGTAGAAATTTAATCAGGAGCTAACCGAACAATCCAACAACAGACTAAAGTGTTCGCTTCATAAAACTTAGTGCTATAGTCAGAAAAGGGAAAAACGTTACACGTTGTAGATTCTAGTTCATTAAGGTAAAGCAGCTGCTAGGAAAAGACCTTAATTGACTATCACTCAATTAGCCCTCAAACCCAAACTACTCCGTCCGTCCCATTTCATATAATGTTGTTTGAGTGCACACGGAGTTTAAGAAGGAAAGATCGACTTTTGAAACTTGTGGTATAAAACAAGCCATACACATTTGTGTTGCCATAAATCATCCCATTAGGGGTAACGGAAAGTTCAAACGTTAAATTGTTTCTAAATACATAAATGTATCATTCTTTTTTAGTACAGACTAAAAAGGAAAGAATATTACATAAACTATGATAGACGGAGTAGTAAGGATCGGCTATATGAATCCTCTATATCCGTCTGTATACAGACTGCTAAAGTTCCAAAAAAAATTTAAACAATAAATGCCCAGGGACCAAGGGCGCATGGTTCAAAACTCGGTAGATAATCAGCCCACTTTTCTATCCTTCTACACTTAAATACAGGCTTTTTGTCTATGACAGGGTTCGAAATACATCACATGATGCGCTCTTATCACTAGACTAAAGCACCAGAGCAAATCCTAAAGTTCCAAATTAGCATAAACAACTATTTTAAGTTCTTCAAAAGTATAATCTTTCTTAGTTAATAAGCAGATTACAATAATCATTCCATAATCCAAATTGGGAAAGACAAAAGTACAAATAACCCAAATACCACTAAATAAATCCAGCAAAAAAATACTTAGTTACCCAAAAACTCGCTAAACATTGATTATCAATAACTAAATAAACGAAAAAAAAAAAAAATAGAAATTACCACAATGAAATCTCCAACACCCAGAAATGATTTGAGGTTACAGATCAAAATGGGTATACAAAATTATAAAAAAAGTGAATTTGTAATAAACCCAAAATAAAAACCAAAAAAAAGGACTTTTTTCCCCTTATTTGTAGGTAGTTAATAATAATATAGTAGATTAGGTGAGTAAGCAAAGCTAAGGATTTTCAATAGGGAATTAAAAAAGAAAAAAGAAAAAAACGGGTAAAGAGAAATATGACTGACTGTTGGGAGCTGTGTGTGTTAATGGCGGTTTCGGTTTGAGGGGCAGATGTAAAGAGAAATGGTGGAGAAAGTGGGTTGGTTTTTATTTTGTATTATATTATATGATATTATTTTTTATTACTATATAATATGGTGTTTCTAAGTATTAATTAAAAGGAAAAAGTAATAATGTTATCACCAAAGTATGTGGTGGAGCGGATGTGATTGTTCTTCCGTTAACTAAAGTTCTCAGATTCAAGGCCCGGATATGAAAGCCAATTTGAATACAGTTGGGCTCCTACTATGGGTCTCGGTTTCGAACCTCGGATATAAAAGCAAATTTGAATATAATTCGGCTTCAATTCGAATACGAAAAAAAAAAAAGTATTACTGTTACAATTAGTGTTTGCGTGGTTCAATAAACCACCTCTAGAGGGAATGTATTGTTTATTTGCTTGCTTTGAAGAGAAGATATCTATCTATATTACACATCTAACAAGGAAGAAATTGTGAGAATTGAACTGTCTATTATGTGAAAACCTTCTATAAATATCACAAAGAAGTACGTTTTGGTGCTAACAAATATTGATTTTACCGTGGATAATTCCCCTCCTCTCCTTAATTTTTCGAATTAGAGTTTAAGGGGTAATAATTTTATGACATGTTACAAATATTATTTTAGTTATATATCATTTTTCATAGGAGATCAACAAAAAATTATGAGAAGAACGATAAACGAGATACAATATTATTTACCCTTAAAATCGAATAACAATTAAATTTATATACGGTTTTAAGGATACGTAATATAACTTGATACAAATTAAGAAAACAGATTAATATTGAAATTGATGATAAGAGAATAAATGCACATCACACAAATTGAACAGCCTTGGCCTTTGAGTTTGATCACCCTCAAACCAAGAAATGCCTCAACTGATGTAAGAATAGAATAACAAGATGATAAGAGCTAGAAATAACAGTGTATTGCTTTTTGTTGCGTATTACAATGTGTTTTACAAATGATCAAACCTCCCTTTATATAGTAAGGGAGTCTTACTCTTGATACAATTCTATAAAATGTAACCAATCTCATGATTTGCTAATTGATCGGCCTCTCCTTGATACGTGCCAAGATTTTTGTCGTGATCTCCAACCGATCCCGGATATTTCGGCATTCTGTTATTTCGGCCCTATTCCGAGCGCGTGTGGCGCGAACTGTCGAAGGGCCGGGGGGGGGGGGGT